AATTACACGTTCCCTTGGAGTAGGTCCTCTTCGATCGGCTACAACACCATTGGTTCATTGATTCTTCAGGTTTAAGCAAGAATACATCTACCTTTGGGTTTGATGTAAGTACGACAAATATAGATTGTCGCACTCATTTCTCATTAATATGGCAGGTCTACGATGTTACAGATGCTACGAACCCCCAGATCAACCAAGATGCCAGCATATTCCTCAATGGCAAGCAAGCGCACACATACCTGTTCGGTTCACTTGCTCATTTTCAAGATAATAGACCCCAGAGTTGTGGATGCATTTCATGCACCTAAGAGCAAGGCGTGGGCTGAAAACTTTGACTTCGTCTTTGGAAATCCTGATGGACTAAGTGAGTCGCGCCTGTTGATTATTCCTAGAACAGCGCATTGAGAACGTGGATAGATGTCGATCCTAGTGAGTACCTTCCTCATTCAACATCAAGGTATCCAACAATCTATTGTCTTCACAGGCACTGAGTGAGTACACTGCCTCTCAGTCTGCTATGAAAACAGATCTGACGTTGACTAGGCCCATGAACTGGCTCACGGAATTTGCAACCAATGCTTCTGCTCACGACGTTAGCGTCGTACTCTACTCCGGTAACAATGATGCTCTCATTGCACATCGGGGAACAGAAGGTGTGTTCTTTTCTTGGACTCTTTTTTTTTATCAGCTCAAGCTCAATGTCATTCTATAGTTACAATTCAAGTACGTCGCAGTCTATAAGTGAGCGACTGATCCTTGACTGCGATTGTCAGAACACGACCTTTGGCGGCATTCAGGGATTCACAGTCAAACCTTCTACACCATGGTACAACGACGCACACCAATTTGCAGGGATCATTCGTCAAGAGCGGAACTGGACATACGTGCTATTTGATAACGCGGGACATCTCGTTGCCGCTGATAATGCTCCAAATGTATGCTGTCTCTTGATCTTTTGGATCTCGTGTGGGCTCACCATCCTCTAAGGCCTTTGTTTTCCTCCGGGAGTTTGTTCTTGGCGATAACCAGACAGGTCTGGTGACCAAGACTGCCACTGGTCAAGTGGTCGTTATTGGAGGGACGAATTCGACCTTGGCACAAGATGTCTTACCTGGCGGTGACGAGATTTATTACGGACCTGGCGCGAAGATCTCGACCTATGTGTTTCCTTCTGCAACACGAGCGGCCTGGAAGTCGTTCATACAGACGGAGACAGCCTTGCCCTCCCCAGCTGCTGGATAAAGTTTCTTACGGCCTATGTAATGATCATGGCAATTTCGACGACTACATAGTGATGTCTGGACTATAATTTACAACTCGTTTTGTTGATTCATAGCAGATTCTATCATCTTGATACTATTTATGATGAATACAATCATTTGAGGCTGAAAACAAACGAAATATTGAGTTATGCATTTCTTTACATGGCTTTTCCATATTTGTTACAATTAGCATCTTCGTGGTTTTTACTAGTGATCAAAACAGTGCAGGATCATAACCATCATACCGTAATGGGGCCAAACATATTAAACTAGTGTTGACTACTGCTTTCATGCAATACTGGACACTGTGGATATCACTGAACTCAATATCAACACACCAGAAGATTTTGTTCATCTCTTGCATCAGGACTACAATAAAAGACAAATAGCACAGCAAGAGGACTGTGGGTTTATGTGCTTATAATGGGCATTTAAAGGTGATCCATACACATGGGTGCGTAGTGCATACACCTACCACTTCAGAAAATCTCATAAGTTTTTTTGGTAATTTGTGAGAAAAATTGATTGAAAAATCTTAAAATGTTTCTCAAGAAACAAAATCTTTCTTGAGAAACATTTTAAGATTTTTTAATAAATTTTTCTCACAAATCACCAAAAATGTTTCTAACTAATGTCAATTAACAAATATGAAAATTTTTCTTGAGATACAGTGAAAAGAAACAGAATAACAGTTCCTCAAGAAACATAAAGATATATGAAATGTTCTTCTTGAGTCAAAAGTGAGAAACATGATTTGTATTTATAATCTGTTTCTCAAGAAAAGTTCAAAGAAAAATTATTTTATTTACTCAAGATACACTATATCAACAGAAATCATTCCGTTAAACTGGTTTAAATTTATATAATAATTTCTACTTGAGAACAATGTATTAGAAATCATATAACATGTTTCTAATTGATGTTTCTCAAGAAACTTACGAGTTTCCTGAAGTGGTATACTTTGTCAGACATCTGGCTGCAAGTCTCTTTTCAGAAAATCATACTTGGTCCCTTTGGCCCAGTCAATATTCCTGGGATCAGGTCTGTACTGCCTCTATTGATAACAATAATAATGACTCTGGTTCCAATCTCCTTCTTCAACCCAGTACACACTTGCCTCTATCTCCATGACTCAATCAGGCCATGACTATATTGTTTATGTCCTTCATACTGTTCAAACTCTCAAATTCTCAATGCAATGGCTGGAACTCTCTTGATGACCTGGTGGCTAATCCATCAAATCTGACTATATCATTGGCACTTTCAATTTTGAAAATGAAGAACTTGTCAGCAGCCTTGAGAATTTATGCAAGGTCAATAAATGTCGATACAAGACTTTGAAGAAGCAGTGTGATAGGAAAGTTGACAAGTTCTGAAAAGATCATGCTAGAATTTTACATGCTCACAATGCTATTCTCAAACTCCACCTTGCAGCATATTATTCCTTGGGCAAGATCTCATCTCATGATAACATTTTTTCTATAGTTTGGACCCATTGTTCTATTTGATCCTACCTGGAATACTGTCACAACCTGCTCCCAGAACCCCCAGACCTCTTTCCAAGCCACCCTGCTTCCCTGGAGTTCCCCTCCTAGCACCCCCTCAATTTTCCCAACCTTCTTTGACCTACAGTGCTTACCCCAGCTAACTCTGATGCTTTCTCAGCAAACCCCAATGCATCCCCTGCAGGCCCCATCACTTCCCTTCTTTTCCTAAGTCTCTGACCCACTCTGACATCTCTCCTGACCAGGCACATGTTGCTGGCTCACCCCTACAACCTACATGACCACTCTGGAACTATCTGACAACTATGGGGCAGACTGCATTCCCATCAGTTCCCATCAAAATATCACAGTGGCCTGCCATCTGATCAGATCCAACACCTGTCAACCTCGTGCAGCTCTGATGAGTCCTGCCATCACACTCTCAGTTTCCAGAGGAGGTCCAGTAGTTAGTATATAAGCCATAGAGTAACATCTATTACCTTAGTCTTGATATTGCTTTACTTGGTTACCTGTGTCTTGTATTTCTTTTCTGTTATGTTTTTCAGCCTTTTCTATTTCTATTTTTAGTCTTGAATCTATCTCTTTCTCAGTTCCATCTTGCCTTGACTCTGTCTTGCCTGTCTTGTCCATCTCTGTTCCTTTGTCATTCCTAAGTTCCTTTCAACTCTGACATCATTACAAACTCCACACGAATGCTACAGCCTATCAAACATTCATACATTAACTCTGGACCTTTCCCTATGCTCAGCCCCAGAATCCATCACTCTTGATTGACCTCCCATCAAACTCTGGCTCTGCTCCCATCACTCACAAAGCCTCTGCTTGCTCCACAGTCCATACATTTGCCTACAAACTCATACCTGACACCTGCCCAACCCCGAACACTTAACATACTTGGTCTTAGACTTCCTTGGACTGCCCTGGACTTGCTTGGATTGCTCCTCTTGGCTTCCCCTTGCAAGTACCTGGAGTCTGACCCACCCTGGAGTGCTAGGTTATAAGCACAGGACATTGCATCTGCCTAGTAAGGACTCACTCAGTTAAGCTGAGCCCCCATGGTCAGTGGAACCTGACAAATACAGTCAATGGATTATAACCCAAGAATCATACACTTGAGTTTACTCAAATCACCACTTGTTTTTGCAAACAATATTTGGTTTTCACTGGTTCTCTTGAGAAAGAGTTTGAGGATGTATTAATTAATATCCCTGTTTCAAATTTCAAGCATAAATTCTCATCTCTTTACTATGTTCTTGTTGACCTTGCATCAATTTCTGTGGCTAAATATGTTTTTGTTGTAATAACCTTCCCTTATATGTTTCCAACCTTGAGATTGATTGGTCTGTTGTTTCAAATTTAGCTAATATGAAGTAATCAATAAATTATTATTTGAATTCTCAACAAAGATTGAAAACAATAGGTTAACCAACTTTATATCATCAGTCATCAACAAATCTCATAAATGATGTATTGTATTGTCTAGCCTGGAAACATCTCCTAGGCCTCCACCTCCTGCCTCTTCTTCTGCTAAAGATAAAAAGAATTCCATGGTTGCTCCCAGAACTTTTCTAAAATTAATGTGCACACAAATAGCTCTCAAGTCCAAACATGTCAACAAGGAGTCTGGAGGCAAATCTACTACTATCTGTATTTCAAAACCTGCTACCAAAATTTTTCTATCATGCATGCATCAACTGCACATGTCAATTGAAGAAGAGAAGACTTGCAGATTACCCAAGATTGCCTCTGAGCCATTCAACTCTTGCTAGAAGTTTGGAAAAATTCTTGACAAGTACAATCTCTAGTACATAACAATCTCTAGTACATAACAATCTCTAGTACATAACAATCTCTAGTACATAATGTCAATGTTTTCATTCACATTTGACAAAATCTAACAATTAACATAGGTTGACTCACATACAGTAAACTAGATTTTCTGTTATAGTTCAAGATGCTAAATTATTATCCAAAGATGATTGCATTTGGCCTTGAATTTTATACAGTTGTTGTATCATTTGTCCATACCTTGATGTGAACTCTCTCACATGTAATACTTTGTTGGTGCCTTCAGCCAAAAAGATTGCAAGATGAAATGCTCTGTCATCCACCTAGCAAACATTCTTTACAACTAACCTCTGGGCTATAGTACCAGTCTCCATGTATCCGTTTCTCTCAAGGACCTTGAGATGAAAAAGCACACTGTCCCCATGGCATAGATGAAAATATATAAGGGCCTGACCGGGAATTGAACCCGGGACCTCCTCGATAATGTGATTTGGGTTCAACTCCCGAAATCCCTAACAAGGAATCATACTACTAGACCATCAGGCCGTTATTTTAAACTAGAAATGTTTACTTATGTGCCGTGATCCCCGAATAAAGTGTGACGCGTCGAGGCTTACGCGTCTTCACTTTCCATTTCCACCTTACACCATGGACGCCCGACCCTCATCATCCTCTGGCGCGATCGAACAGCGCAGGAAAGATGCTCTCAAGGCTTACCGAGAGGTCCCTTTTCATGAATCCTCTAATAGGGCCCTGTTGATACCTGCTATCCTTAGAAAATGCGAAGCCATGAGACTATCAGTGAAAGCCTCAAGAATCGTGCGTGATTTTTCCTTTGAGTTGCCCTTCCTGTCTAATGCTATTCAGTTCGATTTTCTCTCAAGGATCTAGAAAAAGAATATGCAAAGACGGAAGATGACATCAAAGCCGTACAATCCGTTGGACAAATCATTGGTGAAGTCATGAAACAACTTGACGATGAGCGATGTGTGTTTCACGAATTTAGGTGCTCTTCCAAGACTAAAGAAGGGTTTTTAGTTATTGTCAAGGCATCCTCAGGACCGCGTTATGTCGTTTCTTATCGTCCTGCACTTCCCGCGACAAAACTCAAGGCTGGAACTCGGGTTTCTCTCGATATGACGACACTTACAATAATGCGAATACTGCCACGAGAAGTTGATCCTTTGGTGTACAAGATGAGCCTGGAAGATCCTGGAGGAGCTTCGTTCGCGGGAATTGGTGGTTTGGGTGATCAAGTACGAGAACTGCGCGAGGTAAGCCATGATAGTTCTATTTCGTTTAAAACCATATAACGACGTCAATATAGATCATTGAACTGCCGTTACTCAACCCAGAGCTATTCCTTCGAGTTGGTATCAAGCCACCGAAAGGTGTTTTACTATATGGCCCTCCTGGAACGGGTAAAACCCTCCTTGCGCGAGCCGTTGCCGCCACTTTAAACACGAACTTCTTGAAAGTCGTGTCATCAGCTATCGTCGACAAGTATATTGGCGAAAGTGCGCGTGTAGTGCGAGAAATGTTCGGATATGCGAAAGATCATGAACCCTGTGTGATATTCATGGACGAGATTGATGCTATTGGTGGGCGTCGTTTCTCTGAAGGGACGAGTGCGGATCGAGAAATTCAGCGGACCCTGATGGAGGTGTGTGGCTCTGTTCAAGACTTTATGTTACGACCCATGATTCCGGCACCATAGCTTCTGAATCAAATGGATGGCTTCGATTCACTAGGAAAGACGAAGATTATCATGGCTACAAATCGGCCAGATACTTTAGACCCTGCTCTCCTCCGTCCTGGCCGTCTAGATCGCAAGATCGAAGTACCCTTGCCCAACGAGCAAGCCCGGTTAGAGATTCTCAAGATCCATGCTGCACCTGTGAACAAGGGTGGTGATATTGACTATGAGGCAATTGTCAAGGTACATTCTATTTTTACTCTTCAGGCTTTCGACTACTTATACTTCGCCCAAGCTTTCGGATTCCTTCAACGGTGCTGATCTACGAAATGTTGTGACGGAAGCTGGCATGTTTGCAATCCGTGATGATAGGTCAGCCGATGATACCAAGAAGACTTGAGGTTACTTAAACTCGTTGTTTATTAGGGAGTACATCAATCAGGAAGACTTAACAAAGGCTGCCAGGAAGGTCGGTGAGGCCAAGAAGCACGAGAGTAAGTTCCCATGTTCAGCTATTGACTTCCCCGACTAAGTTGTTTCAGCCAAGATGGAATATTCTATGTAGAGGTAGTTCCACCCGCTATACATCTTATACCTTTAAACAATATGACAGATCTGTGTAATACAAGTCCCAAGTCCCGCACTCAAATTTGGCTGTGTTCATAAAGAAAGAAAGAATCGTCCCACGGAAAAAAAAAACTAAACTAAATTAAATCCGCGCGAAAAGTGCGATTGTCCCATTCAGAACCTGAATAACCCTCCTCTCTTCTTTTTCTTCTCGTCTTTTCCCGACTGAGTGGCGGTCATCGAATTAACGGACGAAGATAAGGAGTTTGTTGGTGACATCTTCGGTGCCTCCAGACGTTCTCGTTCACGGGGTGTAGGACGTGATGATGCTGGCGCAGCGCGTTGTGGAGGTGGCGCATCCTTGGTATAATACTTCTCATCGTAATACTCTTGAAAGGTTCGTGTACCCTGCCTCTCACGGAGACCATTGGGCAAAGCCTTCGAGCCAACACCACCGAGTTCTAGTGCCTTCAAATCGTCGACAAATTGACGTGGCGTAATTGTGTGTGTCGAGCCTTGGTGTACAACAATGAATGTCAGTCGAAAATTGGGCAGGAGACAAGTATTAAACGCACGTACCAAGATAGATATCCCTATTCAAGGCGCTTGAGCTCTGATAGCATTCCCTCAGTTCTGAGAATGTGGTTCCACCAACAACGAATACTAGGATGCGTCCCCGTATTTCTACTTGTGATACGCCGGATCTTGCTCTGTGCCACGATGGTTTCTGACTACGAAGAGATGTTGGCTGTGGAGGAGGAGATCGCAGACTTGAAGGCGTCGGTACCGCTGAAGGAGCCTCTTTTACGTATGGGAACAAAGAGTTATCTAGCTTTCCAGCCACGTGTTCCTATGATACTGGTCAATTCTGCTCACTCGAGGATAGATGAGTAGATATACCTCAAGGACTGCCCTTAACACCGGTTTGTAGCGAGAGAGCTCGTACTCATCCCCATGAGTTTTTTGTTTCATCTTCTTCTTGCTATCCCGGTCGGCAGCAGTCTAGGACGCCGATTTAACGGGCCACCTTAATTATATTGAGTGATCGCTTACTCTGTTGATTCGAACACCCATGTGGACTACTGCATTCACAGCGTCCTGTTCTGCCAAGGTCAATCGCGCGTGTTGATAAAGTCTCCTACGGTCCTCCTCAGGAACACCGTCACGATGCTGGATGTATAAAGCAACGATGCGAACTTTGTTCATATTCCTGGAATGAGTTGTCAATAGATACACCACAGAACGAACCTATGAAACACACATACACGACCTCTCGACTATCAAGAAGTGGCACCATCTCCTCTACAAGATGCTTCGGTGTCTTTCCTTCTGCGGTGACACCAGTTGCACAACACTGAACAGGAGAATTGTTGGAAAGGGACCACTATGCCGACGAGAGGACATACCTGTTCAACATTTGCAACAAGAGGTAGTTTGTTGCGTTCAAAGATTGCCATGCATTCCTGGGCCATATTCAAATGCAGAGAAAACTGGCACATAACATGAGTACGTGAATATTCAACAAACAACACGAAATTCTAACCTTCTCCCGCTGCTCTTGATATTGTGGTAGGCTTGCAAGCATCTCTTTCATGTCATTCAGACTTGCGGCACCCTCCCTGCCAGGCATGTCTTCATACAAAGCCATTCAGAAGGAAAATCCTGGCATACCCTTTGAATACAGCATTCTCTTGCAAGAACTTGTTAAAGTCTCCCATCAATTTATCAATTGCTTCTCTCATATGCATGTGTCGAATTTCTGTCCAGACTGTATCTGAGTCGGACAATGTCGCAGTCTTATCCTCGTACGCGCCGACGGAAGATTGAAATTTATACCTGTCATAGGCCTTAGATCTAAACCAAGCAAGAACTTTACACATAACGACGGACGTGTATTTAGATCCATCCTCTATTGGGAGAAGATCATTGACCATGGCTTGATACGTGAATTCGTGAAGGAAAGGGGCAACCATGTCCATTGTTCGGTCAGTGATTATTAGAGTAGCTCGCGGGCGTGACGCTTCTGAGCTGCCCGGTGGGTATTTCTATAATGATAGTCAGCATAGCTAAACGACAAAAAAGGTGAGCGATGTACACCGAAATCAGGGTTTTGCTTCTTGTGTTCCTCTAAAGCATCCTGCACAAAGAATGCCAACAGCTTTGTAGCATGGTCACTCTCAACCGCTTCATAAGCTCTTGCTTCTGCACCGCGTGCAAGGTTAGTGCGCCATCTTGAACTGGCTTCTGGTGGAGGTGGCGGGCGTGTCGAGGCGTGAGGTTTGAGAGAACCTAGAGGAGGATGATGGGAGGGCATATAGTATCGAATGAACGGGAACTCGTTGAAAGCAATGCAAACATTTGAAATCTTGCAATGAAAGCCGATAAGTATCCAGTACGACAATGAGAAACGATGCCCTACCATCTTGGCGGCAAATCTCAAGTCCTCTTCAGCGCGAAGACGCGCCGCTTGGAAAGCTGTGTCACTACGAGGCGGGCTATACAGGCCAAAGAACATTGCTGGTTCTTGAATAGAAAATACCTGTGCCTCCGTTGCTATGAATCATGTCAGGGTTGTTGGGATCGTGATAGAAAGATCACACACCCCAGAAGTTCAAAAACACCTCTCTGAGTCCCCGCAGGTACGGTTCAGCGCTTGACGATGTCAGTCGTTGGAACAGTTGTTCATCCAGACCTATCAGAACATGCCGTGAAGATTAGTCGCGGAAATAGTAACCTGGTGTACCTTCGATGAAGAAGAGATGAGCACCGGCATATTGTTTGACCGTGCCAGAGAAGTCCTTGATTATCCGGTCGACGTTTTGCGATGTCGGCATAAGTAAGTATAACGCCTCGAAACTAGGCTGGGGGTCACGATAGTTGGATATGGATTCTATTACTGGGGCTGCGTCAGTCGCGACGCACTTACTGCAAGACACAAGAGAACATACAAGTGACATTCTCCTCAAGGACATCAAACTGCTTGAGGACCGAACCCAACAATCTTTGCGAATGCTCATCCACGACCAATATCTTCCATTTGCCCGGCGGGTTGACGGAACGAAGGACTTCTAGAAATTCTAGTAATAGCGATATCAACCCGGAGACCGAAGAAGAAACAGGCTTTGAACACACTATTCCTGACGAGTGTTATCAAGGATGCCATGAAGAAATGAGCTCGAGCCCCGTAAGATGGCTACTAAGATGTCCCTTGTCTCAGCGTTCCTAAATTACGGCGATATCCGATCATGTGGCAGTGACGCAGTGATGTGCGGCCGGAATGTAC